CTGGTGACACCATCTGCCACTGGTGACACTATCTACCACTGGTGACACCATCTACCACTGGTGACACCGTCTACCACTGGTGACACCGTCTACCACTGGTGACACTATCTACCACTGGTAAACACATCTACCACTGGTGACACTATCTACCACTGGTGACACCATCTACCACTGGTGACACCATCTACCACTGGTGACACCGTCTACCACTGGTGACACCGTCTAACACTGGTGACACCGTCTAACACTGGTGACACCGTCTACCACTGGTGACACCATCTACCACTGGTGACACCATCTACCACTGGTGACACCATCTACCACTGGTGACACCATCTACCACTGGTGACACCATCTACCACTGGTGACACCATCTACCACTGGTGACACCATCTACCACTGGTGACACCATCTACCACTGGTGACACCATCTACCACTGGTGACACCGTCTACCACTGGTGACACCGTCTACCACTGGTGACACCGTCTACCACTGGTGACACCGTCTACCACTGGTGACACCATCTACCACTGGTGACACCGTCTACCACTGGTGACACCATCTACCACTTGTGACACCATCTACCACTTGTGACACCGTCTACCCACTGGTGGACACCGTCTACCACTGGTGACACCGTCTACCACTGGTGACACCATCTACCACTGGTGACACCATCTACCACTGGTGACACCATCTACCACTGGTGACACCGTCTACCACTGGTGACACCATCTACCACTGGTGACACCATCTACCACTGGTGACACCATCTACCACTGGTGACACCGTCTACCACTGGTGACACCGTCTACCACTGGTGACACCGTCTACCACTGGTGACACCATCTACCACTGGTGACACCGTCTACCACTGGTGACACCGTCTGCCACTGGTGACACCATCTACCACTGGTGACACCGTCTACCACTGGTGACACCGTCTACCACTGGTGACACCGTCTACCACTGGTGACACCATCTACCACTGGTGACACCATCTACCATGGTGACACCATCTACCACTGGTGACACCATCTACCACTGGTGACACCATCTACCTCTGGTGACACCGTCTACCACTGGTGACACCGTCTACCACTGGTGACATCATCTACCACTGGTGACACCATCTACCACTGGTGACACCATCTACCACTGGTGACACCGTCTACCACTGGTGACACCGTCTACCACTGGTGACACCATCTACCACTGGTGACACCATCTACCACTGGTGACACCGTCTACCACGGGTTTGACACCATCTACCAGGGTGACACCATCTACCATTTGGTGACACCATCACCACTGGTGACACCGTCTACCACTGACACCGGTGGGTATCACTGGTGACACCATCTACCACAGTGTCCCATCTACCACGGGTACACCATCTACATGGTGAAAACCATCTACCACTGGGGGGACACGCTACCACTGGTGACACCATCTACCACTGGTGACACATTCTACCAATGGTGACCCGTGTCCAGCTTCACTTTACAGTTCTACCGTTCATAAGCCACTTTTCCGCGCATATTTTTTGTCAAGATTGATGGAGTCAACACACTGACTCAAGGCTGAGGGACTGATTACCTCAAACTCCTCATCTCCCAGTTTTTCTCTGTATTGGATTAAAGAAACAACTGGCTGGCGAAACTTTTCCAGAATACAGATCCCCAAATATTACATAGTTGTCTCATTTAGCAGTACAAGTACAACCATGACTGAGGGCAGTACAAGTACAGCAATGACTGAGGGCAGTACAAGTACAACCATGACTCAGGGCAGTACAAGTACAGCAATGACTCAGGGCAGTACAAGTACAACCATGACTGAGGGCAGTACAAGTACAACCATGACTGAGGGCAGTACAAGTACAACCATGACTGAGGGCAGTACAAGTACAACCATGACTCAGGGCAGTACAAGTGCAACCATGACTCAGGGCAGTACAAGTACAACCATGACTCAGGGCAGTACAAGTACAACCATGACTGAGGGCAATACAAGTACAACATGACTCAGGGCAAGTTACAAGTGCAACCATGACTCAGGGCAGTACAAGTACAACCATGACTCAGGGCAGTACAAGTGCAACATGACTCAGGGCAGTACAAGTACAACCATGACTCAGGGCAGTAACAAGTACAACCATGACTGAGGGCAGTACAAGTACAACCATGACTGAGGGCAGTACAAGTACAACCATGACTGAGGGCAGTACAAGTACAACTATGACTCAGGGCAGTACAAGTACAACTATGACTCAGGGCAGTACAAGTACAACCAATGACTGGGGGCAGTACAAGTACAAACCATGACTGAGGGCAGTACAAGTACAACCATGACTGAGGGCAGTACAAGTACAACTATGACTCAGGGCAGTACAAGTACAACTATGACTCAGGGCAGTACAAGTACAACTATGACTCAGGGCAGTACAAGTACAACCATGACTCAGGGCAGTACAAGTACAACCATGACTCAGGGCAGTACAAGTAAAAACCATGACTAGGGCAGTACAAGTAAAAACCATGACTGAGGGCAGTACAAGTACAACCATGACTGAGGGCAGTACAAGTACAACTATGACTGAGGGCAGTACAAGTACAACCAATGACTGAGGGCAAGTACAAGTACAACCATGACTGAGGGCAGTACAAGTACAACTATGACTCAGGGCAGTACAAGTACAACCATGACTCAGGGCAGTACAAGTACAACCATGACTCAGGGCAGTACAAGTACAACCATGACTGAGGGCAGTACAAGTACAACTATGACTGAGGGCAGTACAAGTACAACCATGACTGAGGGCAGTACAAGTACAACCATGACTGAGGGCAGTACAAGTACAACTATGACTCAGGGCAGTACAAGTACAACCATGACTCAGGGCAGTACAAGTACAACCATGACTCAGGGCAGTACAAGTACAACCATGACTCAGGGCAGTACAAGTACAACCATGACTGAGGGCAGTACAAGTACAAACTATGACTGAGGGCAGTACAAACAACCATGATGAGGCAGTACAAGTACAACTATGACTCAGGGCAGTACAAGTACAACCATGACTGAGGGCAGTACAAGTGCAACCATGACTGAGGGCAGTACAAGTACAACCATGACTCAGGGCAGTACAAGTGCAACCATGACTGAGGGCAGTACAAGTGCAACCATGACTGAGGGCAGTACAAGTGCAACCATGACTCAGGGCAGTACAAGTGCAACCATGACTGAGGGCAGTACAAGTACAACCATGACTCAGGGCAGTACAAGTGCAACCATGACTGAGGGCAGTACAAGTGCAACCATGACTGAGGGCAGTACAAGTAACAACAACAAATGACTGAGGGCAGTACAAGTACAACCATGACTGAGGGCAGTACAAGTACAACCATGACTCAGGGCAGTACAAGTACAACTATGACTCAGGGCAGTACAAGTACAACCATGACTCAGGGCAGTACAAGTACAACCATGACTGAGGGCAGTACAAGTACAACCATGACTCAGGGCAGTACAAGTACAACCATGACTCAGGGCAGTACAAGTACAACCATGACTGAGGGCAGTACAAGTACAACCATGACTCAGGGCAGTACAAGTGCAACCATGACTGAGGGTACAAGTACAACCTGACTGAGGCAGTACAAGTACAACCATGACTGAGGGCAGTACAAGTGCAACCATGACTGAGGGCAGTACAAGTACAACCATGACTCAGGGCAGTACAAGTGCAACCATGACTGAGGGCAGTACAAGTGCAACCATGACTGAGGGCAGTACAAGTACAACCATGACTGAGGGCAGTACAAGTGCAACCATGACTGAGGGCAGTACAAGTGCAACCATGACTGAGGGCAGTACAAGTGCAACCATGACTCAGGGCAGTACAAGTGCAACCATGACTCAGGGCAGTACAAGTGCAACCATGACTGAGGGCAGTACAAGTGCAACCATGACTGAGGGCAGTACAAGTGCAACCATGACTGAGGGCAGTACAAGTACAACCATGACTCAGTGGCAGTACAAGTGCAACCATGACTGAGGGCAGTACAATTTGCAACCATGACTGAGGGCAGTACAAGTGCAACCATGACTCAGGGCAGTACAAGTGCAACCATGACTGAGGGCAGTACAAGTACAACCATGACTCAGGGCAGTACAAGTGCAACCATGACTGAGGCAGTACAAGTGCAACCATGACTGAGGGCAGTACAAGTGAAAACCATGACTGAGGGCAGTACAAGTACAACCATGACTCAGGGCAGTACAAGTGCAACCATGACTGAGGGCAGTACAAGTGCAACCATGACTGAGGGCAGTACAAGTGCAACCATGACTGAGGGCAGTACAAGTGCAACCATGACTGAGGGCAGTACAAGTGCAACCATGACTGAGGCAGTACAAGTACAAACCATGACTCAGGGCCGTACAAGTGCAACCATGACTGAGGGCAGTACAAGTGCAACCATGACTGAGGGCAGTACAAGTGCAACCATGACTCAGGGCAGTACAAGTGCAACCATGACTCAGGGCAGTACAAGTACAACCATGACTCAGGGCAGTACAAGTGCAACCATGACTGAGGGCAGTACAAGTGCAACCATGACTGAGGGCAGTACAAGTGCAACCATGACTGAGGGCAGTAACAAGTACAAACCATGACTCAGGGCAGTACAAGTGCAACCATGACTGAGGGCAGTACAAGTGCAACCATGACTGAGGGCAGTACAAGTGCAACCATGACTGAGGGCAGTACAAGTGCAACCATGACTGAGGGCAGTACAAGTACAACCATGACTCAGGCATACAAGTGCAACCATGACTGAGGGCAGTACAAGTGCAACCATGACTGAGGGCAGTACAAGTGCAACCATGACTGAGGCAGTACAAGTGCAACCATGACTGAGGGCAGTACAAGTACAACCATGACTCAGGGCAGTACAAGTTACAACCATGACCCGGGGCAGTACAAGTACAACCATGACTGAGGGCAGTACAAGTTCAACCATGACCCAGGGCAGTACAAGTACAGCCATGACTCGAGGGCAGTACAAGTACAACATGACTGAGGCAGTACAAGTCAACATGACCCGGGGCAGTACAAGTACAAACCATGCTGAGGGCAGTACAGTACAAGCATGACTCAGGCAGTACAAGTACAACCATGACTCAGGGCAGTACAAGTACAACCATGACTCAGGCAGTACAAGTACAACCATGACTGAGGCAGTACAAGTACAACCATGACTCAGGGCAGTACAAGTGTCAACCATGACTGAGGGCAGTACAAGTAACCATGACTCAGGGCAGTACAAGTACAACCATGACTGAGGGCAGTACAAGTAAAACCATGACCCAGGGCAGTACAAGTACAACCATGACTGAGGGCAGTACAAGTACAAGCATGACTCAGGGCAGTACAAGTACAACCATGACTCAGGGCAGTACAAGTACAACCATGACTCAGGGCAGTACAAGTACAACCATGACTGAGGGCAGTACAAGTACAACCATGACTCAGGGCAGTACAAGTACAACCATGACTGAGGGCAGTACAAGTACAACTATGACTCAGGGCAGTACAAGTACAACCATGACTCAGGGCAGTAACAAGTACAACCATGACTAAAGGGCAGTCCCAAGTACAACCATGACTCAGGGCAGTACAAGTACAACCATGACTCAGGGCAGTACAAGTACAACCATGACTGAGGGCAGTACAAGTACAACCATGACTGAGGGCAGTACAAGTACAACCTTTGACTGAGGGCAGTACAAGTTACAACCATGACTGAGGGCAGTACAAGTACAACCATGACTGGGGGCATTTACAAGTACAACCATGACTGAGGGCAGTACAAGTACAACCATGACTGAGGGCAGTACAAGTACAACCATGACTGAGGGCAGTACAAGTACAACCATGACTGAGGGCAGTACAAGTACAACTATGACTCAGGGCAGTACAAGTACAACTACGACTCAGGGCAGTACAAGTACAACTATGACTCAGGGCAGTACAAGTGCAACTATGACTCAGGGCAGTACAACCATGACTGAGGGCAGTACAAGTACAACCATGACTGAGGGCAGTACAAGTACAACTATGACTGAGGGCAGTACAAGTACAACCATGACTGAGGGCAGTACAAGTACAACCATGACCCAGGGCAGTACAAGTACAACCATGACTGAGGGCAGTACAAGTACAACCATGACTCAGGGCAGTACAAGTACAACTATGACTCAGGGCAGTACAAGTACAACCATGACTCAGGGCAGTACAAGTACAACCATGACTCAGGGCAGTACAAGTACAACCATGACTCAGGGCAGTACAAGTACAACCATGACCCAGGGCAGTACAAGTACAACCATGACTGAGGGCAGTACAAGTACAACCATGACCCAGGGCAGTACAAGTAAAAACCATGACTGAGGGCAGTACAAGTACAAACCAAATGACTGAGGGCAGTACAAGTACAACTATGACTCAGGGCAGTACAAGTACAACCATGACCCAGGGCAGTACAAGTACAACCATGACTGAGGGCAGTACAAGTACAACCATGACTCAGGGCAGTACAAGTACAACCATGACTCAGGGCAGTACAAGTACAACCATGACTGAGGGCAGTACAAGTACAACCATGACTGAGGGCAGTACAAGTACAACTATGACTCAGGGCAGTACAAGTACAACCATGACTCAGGGCAGTACAAGTACAACCATGACTCAGGGCAGTACAAGTACAACCATGACTCAGGGCAGTACAAGTACAAACCATGACTCAGGCAGTACAAGTACAACCATGACTCAGGGCAGTACAAGTACAACCATGACCCTGGGCAGTACAAGTACAACCATGACTGAGGGCAGTACAAGTACAGCCATGACTGAGGGCAGTACAAGTACAACCATGACTGAGGGCAGTACAAGTACAACCATGACTGAGGGCAGTACAAGTACAACCATGACTGAGGGCAGTACAAGTACAACTATGACTCAGGGCAGTACAAGTACAACCATGACTGAGGGCAGTACAAGTACAACCATGACTGAGGGCAGTACAAGTACAACCATGACTGAGGGCAGTACAAGTACAACCATGACCCAGGGCAGTACAAGTACAACCATGACTGAGGGCAGTACAAGTACAGCCATGACTGAGGGCAGTACAAGTGCAACCATGACTGAGGGCAGTACAAGTGCAACCATGACTCAGGGCAGTACAAGTGCAACCATGACTGAGGGCAGTACAAGTACAACCATGACTGAGGGCAGTACAAGTACAACCATGACTGAGGGCAGTACAAGTACAACCATGACTGAGGGCAGACAAGTACAACCATGACTGAGGCAGTACAAGTACAACCATGACTGAGGGCAGTAAAGTACAACCATGACTGAGGGCAGTACAAGTACAACCATGACTGAGGGCAGTACAAGTACAACCATGACTGAGGGCAGTACAAGTACAAGCATGACTCAGGGCAGTACAAGTACAACCATGACCCAGGCATGTACAAGTACAAGCATGACTGAGGCAGTACAAGTACAAGCATGACTCAGGGCAGTACAAGTACAACCATGACCCAGGGCAGTACAAGTACAACCATGACTGAGGGCAGTACAAGTACAAGCATGACTCAGGGCAGTACAAGTACAACCATGACTCAGGGCAGTACAAGTACAACCATGACTCAGGGCAGTACAAGTACAACCATGACTCAGGGCAGTACAAGTACAAAGCATGACTGAGGGCAGTACAAGTACAAGCATGACTCAGGGCAGTACAAGTACAACCATGACTCAGGGCAGTACAAGTACAAGCATGACTGAGGGCAGTACAAGTACAAGCATGACTCAGGGCAGTACAAGTACAACCATGACCCAGGGCAGTACAAGTACAACCATGACTGAGGGCAGTACAAGTACAAGCATGACTCAGGGCAGTACAAGTACAACCATGACTCAGGGCAGTACAAGTACAAGCATGACTCAGGGCAGTACAAGTACAACCATGACTCAGGGCAGTACAAGTACAAGCATGACTCAGGGCAGTACAAGTACAACCAGGACTCAGGGCAGTACAAGTACAACCATGACTGAGGGCAGTACAAGTACAAGCATGACTCAGGGCAGTACAAGTACAACCATGACTGAGGGCAGTACAAGTACAACCATGACTGAGGGCAGTACAAGTACAACCATGACTGAGGGCAGTACAAGTACAACCATGACTCAGGGCAGTACAAGTACAACCATGACTGAGGGCAGTACAAGTACAACCATGACTGAGGGCAGTACAAGTACAACCATGACTGAGGGCAGTACAAGTACACAACCATGACTGAGGGCAGTACAAGTACAACCATGACTGAGGGCAGTACAAGTAAAACCCATGACTGAGGGCAGTACAAGTACAACCATGACTCAGGGCAGTACTAGTACAACCATGACTCAGGGCAGTACAAGTACAACCATGACTGAGGGCAGTACAAGTACAACCATGACTGAGGGCAGTACAAGTACAACCATGACTGAGGGCAGTACAAGTACAACCATGACTCGGGGCAGTAAAAGTACAACCATGACTCAGGGCAGTACAAGTACAAACCATGACTGAGGGCAGTACAAGTACAACCATGGACTGAGGGCAGTACAAGTACAACCATGACTGAGGGCAGTACAAGTACAACCATGACTCAGGGCAGTACAAGTACAACCATGACTCAGGGCAGTACAAGTACAACCATGACTCAGGGCATTTACAAGTAACAACCAGGGACTGAGGGCAGTACAAGTAAAAACCATGACTCAGGGCAGTACAAGTACAACCAGACTGAGGCAGTACAAGTACAACCATGACTCAGGGCAGTACAAGTACAACCATGACTGAGGGCAGTACAAGTACAACCATGACTCAGGGCAGTACAAGTACAACCATGACTCAGGGCAGTACAAGTACAACCATGACTCAGGGCAGTACAAGTACAAGCATGACTCAGGGCAGTACAAGTACAACCATGACTGAGGGCAGTACAAGTACAACCATGATTTGAGGGCAGTACAAGTACAAACCATGACTCAGGGCAGTACAAGTACAACCATGACTGAGGGCAGTACAAGTACAAGCATGACTGAGGGCAGTACAAGTACAACCATGACTGAGGGCAGTACAAGTACAACCATGACTCAGGGCAGTACAAGTACAACCATGACTGAGGGCAGTACAAGTACAACCATGACTGAGGGCAGTACAAGTACAACCATGACTGAGGGCAGTACAAATACAACCATGACTGAGGGCAGTACAAGTACAAGCATGACTCAGGGCAGTACAAGTACAAACATGACCCAGGGCAGTACAAGTACAACCATGACTCAGGGCAGTACAAGTACAAGCATGACTCAGGGCAGTACAAGTACAACCATGACCCAGGGCAGTACAAGTACAACCATGACTCAGGGCAGTACAAGTACAACCATGACCCAGGGCAGTACAAGTACAACCATGACTCAGGGCAGTACAAGTACAACCATGACCCAGGGCAGTACAAGTACAACCATGACTCAGGGCAGTACAAGTACAACCATGACTCAGGGCAGTACAAGTACAAGCATGACTGAGGGCAGTACAAGTACAACCATGACTCAGGGCAGTACAAGTACAACCATGACTGAGGGCAGTACAAGTACAAGCATGACTCAGGGCAGTACAAGTACAAGCATGACTCAGGGCAGTACAAGTACAACCATGACTCAGGGCAGTACAAGTACAACCATGACTGAGGGCAGTACAAGTACAACCATGACTGAGGACAGTACAAGTACAACCATGACTCAGGGCAGTACAAGTACAACCATGACTCAGGGCAGTACAAGTACAACCATGACTCAGGGCAGTACATGTACAACCATGACTCAGGGCAGTACATGTACAACCATGACTCAGGGCAGTACATGTACAACCATGACTCAGGGCAGTACAAGTACAACCATGACTCAGGGCAGTACAAGTACTGGACGTGACCCAAACAACAGGCAGTACATCACAATGTACAATTTTGTACTATCTGACGTGTACTTTAAATATCATAGTGCCCAGTTTTATAATGTAATTTAACCAGGTATAAGCTGAGCAACAATTACTTATGAATCTAAAAGTTGAGTTCCAATTACTAAAAAAATTTAATTAATTCAATTCAGCTTCAATTAAAATTATAATTACACGAAGCCTGGAGGTAAGTGTAGCATTCAGACATGTCTGTTTATGAAATGCTGGTAGAATGCTGCTATAATGAACTACAATGATTTTAACTCATGTCACAAGTTATGACATGAGTAATGGCTGTGTGAATGTTGTTACGGAGTCACTCTAGGAAATGTGTGCTGATTCTTGTAACATACAGATCCTCCCCGACTTCCGACTTATGCGACTTACGTTCGTCCGCACATACGACCGAAAAAACTACACTATAAATTAGAAAAAAATATATATGTACGTAAATATAGAAACTATACTATGAATGATACCTACAAGTAAGGAACATCAGTTTGTTAATAAAGCAGGTTGATAAAGAGAGAGAGAGATAATCATGACAGAAATTAGGTTAAAAGTGTGTTGTACAGGTATACCACTGCTACATGCCATGCTAACATAATTCCCACATCCTTCCATTTCGAAATCCGATCGGACGGTCGGAACGGAATTCGGACGTAAGTCGGGGAGGATCTGTACTTGTGACAGAGTATTTTTTTCACAATTCATACACAATCATCTGTATTTTAAAATACAGCTACGATAAATTACCTTGATTTTTAACTCCTTTGATATATTTTTGATGAGTTTGGAGAGTCTTACTACTTTCGTTTTAGAAATTTGTGCTCCTGGGGGTCACTTAAGACACTGTTCTGACAAAGCTTTTTCTTTTCCCCAGGATGCCGAGTTCAACCCAAACTTCCGGCGAGAGAAGAGGAAGGCGGAGGAGGAGTCTCTGGATAACACAGACATCAAAAAGGTAACACAAAAGATGCCAATTTTTTCTTTAGAGATTTTAACCATTTTATTGTTTTTTTTACCCCCCAAGCAGGTTTGTGTCTGTGTTGTTTACAGCCGGCGCTGTGGTCTTTACCTAGAACCCATATCAGGAGCTGCCACACTGAACAGCTCTACTTCTCAAGGTACAGTCTTTGTCATTCTTATATCCGACATAAAAAAAAAATATATATATATCCGACATACAGCGAGTCTTATATCCGACACAGAAACATTCATATATCCGACATGAGACATTGATAAATCCGACATCGAGATTCTTATATCCGACAAAGAGACAATAATAGTATCCTCTTTGCAGAGGATACGAGAATCTGTATGAGAGTGGCCAGCATCGAGGACACATCGAACCTTGAAGGTGATATAAACAAAGTCTTCCAGTCGGCCACTAATAGCAATTTAATGTTCGAGGACAAAATTCGTTTACTTCGCTATGCAAAAAATGATGAAATAAGAACTGAAATTGATCACAAGACGAGCTGAAATCATTCCATAGACTGGAAGTACAGTCTGAAGACTCTGACAGGATCTCACATTCAAGGATCACAACGTTATTACTGTAACAGCAAGAAAAATAATTCGTCGGATAACTAGAACATATAAAATAAAAGATGCAGAGCCAGTGATGATTCTCCACAAGTCACTTGTTGTCTTTAGGCTGGAATATTGTTGTATATTACAGCATCCGTCAAGGTAGGAGAGACTGAGGAACTGGAAAACATCCAGAGAACCTTCATTGCTCGTTCAAATTCAGTCAATCATCTGAACTACTGGAAATACTTTGAAGTCCTTTTAACTGGGCTGTAGGAAAATTCTGGAGCGATTATTCCCAAATTAGCACACTGAAATTACTCCAGATAAAAGTAAAACACTTGACAGACTGTGCAAAATACCTTCAATTTAGGAGAGAGCGTGATGAGTACACTAAGAGAACTCAACAAATGTAGGAGGACCAAGACTCTTCCGCATGCTCCCTTCATGCATAAGGGGGAGGGGGAATTACCATCAAACCTCTTGTTGCCTTTAATAGGGAACTTAGTTCCTCAAGTTCCTTTTCAAATGAGCTGTGGAGCGTACATGGGAATACGTGCGGCTGGCACCAAGTCTGGTCACACCGGCCAGCAACCGGGAGGCTTTGTCTGGTCTAGAACCGGGTCAAGGGGAGGGATACAGTGATTCTCAAAATCGACTCTAGTTCGAGGTGCTCTTAGTAGACATGCATGTATAGACACGCACATGCAGACAAGCACACACAGGCGTGTACATGTAGACGCACAAAATTTTAAGAGGAATTGATAAAGCAGACAGGGATAAACTGAATTATGAGAACCAATGAGGAAGGGACACTGATGGAAGGTGTAGAGTTAGTGATATTAGGAAGTACTTTTTAAGCCTCAGGGAGGCTGAACAGATGAAACACTTCGTTGAAGAAGTAGAGGGAAAACTTTATACGCAGCTTCTGGCTCAAGTTGCCAGAAAACAGTAATGTCGATCAAGCTAGTATAGGGGGGGGGGTCAGGAACTGAGTATGCGGACTCAGGGAGACAGACATCAACGACGTACAGGAACCAGTACTCACCTGACAACCCGAATCCTGGTACTAAGTGAAAATTGACTGACAAAATTAAGTAGGCGCTAATGCTAACTCAGGTTGTTCAGTCAGCAGACCGTTCAAGTAATGTAGATAAATGGGTATCTTTATTGTGGAAACGTTTCCTCAACCAGTGGCTTCCTCAGTCCAATATACAGAAGAATGGAGTTTGAGGTAATCTGTCCCTCAACTTGGAGTCCATTATATTGACTCCAGGTTGAGTCGATTGAGTGATGAAGTCACTGACTGGCGAAACGTTTTCACAATAAAGATACCCAAGTGCTGCACAAGTGTCTAATTCATCAGATTATTCCAGTGTTGGTACTAGGCATGGGGTATCTGAAGACATGGATCGACTGTACAAGAAATAGTAGATGCCAATTCGACCTAAATATAGACATTTGTCGACACAAGACCTGTAAATACTTCGATCCGTAGCGGGGAACGAGGCGAGGCACTGTCAGCGCTCAGTTGCACGAGACAATTTGCAACCATACTCACAGTAGTGATTTATTAGTGCCAGGAAACGAAAAAGAATGGCAAGCAGTGATAGGAACCATGCTGGACTGGAAACAAAGTCAGTGGTAGGCTCATCAGTCTCTGATACTAAGTCCAAACAAGCTCCCCAGCACAGCAACTACTTTTGTGGTTGTAAACTTACAAGGTCTCAACCCAAGTAAGAACAATAAAATAGTTTACTATGGATCTTCTTAGAGTCAAAGCATCTAAGACAACTTATTGATCATTCAAGACCAGCCTGAAATACTGTATACTAACAGCTTCCTTCAAGGCAGACGAGGTTGCTCAGCTAGAAAACGTACAGAGAACTTTCAGCGTCCTCATATATTCACTCGAACATCTGAACTACTGGTAATGATTAAGTCTTCTGGACGTAGACGAGAAAAGTACATCAGAATTTACACCTGGAAAATCCTAGAGGGACTGGTTCCAAACCTTCACACCAAATCACTCCGTAGGAAAGCAAGAGACTTGGTAAACTGTGTAGAGTACCTCCAGTAAAAAGCAGGGACGCGACGAGTACACTAAGAGAGAATTCAGTAAATGTCAAAGGCCTCAGACATTTCAATGCCCTCAGTGCATAAAGGAATTGCCAACAGACCTCTGGTTATCTTCAAGAGGAACTTGATAAGTTCTTGACCAGCCTGGCTGTGGTTCGCACTCTGGACTGTGTGTGGCCAGTAGTACCAATCTGGTTGTACAGGCCTTGACCCACTAAAACGTACTTAAAGTATTCAAAATAACTGATCGAGTACGCACACACACGAGGAATAAGAATGTATAAGTGGATACAACAACATTTAAGATATTAAAGAGTGGGGTACTCCTCCCCTTCCCCGCTCATCTCCTCCCCTCCAATCATCTCCCTCCACTCCCCTAGCTTGTTTCTTCCATCTTCTCTTCTACACTTTCCTCTCCCTCTCTGCTGCTTCTCTATTTCTTTACTCTCCCCTGCTTCTCTCCTCTCCTCTCTCCCAATCCTTTCCTCCCCTGCACACAACTGGTCAGGGTTTCTAGGAGGTCACATGAATAATGGCAGTGTGTTGACACTGGCTAGTCGAGGTGAGGCAGGGATGGCTTGGGGAAGGCATGGGGGTGACTTAGGAGTGAGGCAGGGGCTGGTGACTTGGTGGGGCGAGGCAGGAAGGGATAGCTTGAGGGAAGAAGCAAGGATGGGTGGGGGGATGAAGGAATGGTGTGGGTGAGACAAGGAGGGGTGGTGTGGGGGGACAAAGAGAGGTAGGGTGGGGGGGACAAGGAGAGGTAGGGTGGGGGAGACAAGGAGGGGGGTGTGGGTGACACATTGGGACGGAGGGGCTTGGAACGAGGAAGGGAGAGGTGTACTTGCCGATTTGTTTACAGGGGTCGAGACTTACCACTTGACTCCGCCTTCCAGACCACTTTGATCTTCATCACTGACTTTTGGCCTCTTGAGCCTCATCATATCTACTCTTGAAGCTGTGTATTGAATTTGCCTCCACCACTGCCTCATCCAAGTCATTACACTTTTTAACGACCCTTAGACTAATGAATTACTGTCTTTCCTGTGGTTCATCTGTGTCTTTAGCTTCCACTTGTGTCCCCTTGATCATGGTCCTCTTAATTCAGTTTGTCCCTATCATAACCTATGAATTACTCTTAGAATTTTTTACTCAGTAATCATAACCGCCTGTTCTTTGTCCTTCTCTCCTCTCAGGTTTAGTTTCCTCATACTTCAGTCCTGCGAGCGTTGGTACAAGATGATTGCAAACCTATGGAACTTTTCGAGTTTCTTCATAGGCTTGTCCAGGTGTGGGCTCCATCATGCTGGGGCTGCACACACACCTTACATATATCGTATATAACATTCTGAAGGATTCTTTATTCAAGTTCTTGAATTCTAGTGAGAGTTACCAATCTTGCATATGCCGCTAATGCTATACGTTTTTTATCTGGCGATATGCTTGATGCTCTCGCACCAGATCCGTTTTATTCTCTGATGTTTACATCTTCTTTCCGTCAGCGACGCATTGTGTCCAGTCTGTTCCTCACTTTCTCCAGTTTGCATCATCTTGTATTTGTTCGGGTTTAACTCGTAAACCCGCTTGTTTACCACATCTTTTGTCTGTCAAGATCTCTCTGGAGGCTATCACTCTCGTCTAGTGTTCTAATCCTTATCATCAACTGTACATCATCTGCAAACACTAACACATAGAACTCGATGCACTCTGGTAGGTTATTCACAAGAAGAACATCAGTGGCCCTAACACTAGTCCTTGAAGAACCCGACTCGTTACTCTCCCCCATTCTGATGTCTCATTCCTTACTGTTATTCTATATCTTCTTTTATTCAGTTTTAGCAGTAAAGGTCGAGAACCAAAACCTAGTCATTGTGGTAGTCTACAAGCCTCCAGATGCAACATCCCAGCAATTCCAGGAACAGCTGTTAAAAATTGACCACTGTCTGGAAAATCTTCCAGCTCCTGCACCCAACATCTTGCTCCTGGGGGATTTCAACTTAAGGCACCTAAAATGGAGGAATATAGCAAATAATATTGTTGCAGTAATAACACCAGGAGGCAGCTCTGATGAAAACTCATACTCACACGAGCTTTTAAATCTCTGCACAAAATTCAATTTAAACCAGCAAATAATAGAGCCTACTAGACTGGAGAATACACTAGACCTCATCTTCACTAACAATGATGATCTGATAAGAAATGTCACCATATCAAAAACAATATACTCAGATCACAACATAATTGAGGTTCAGACATGTATGCGTGGAGCCCCAGACCGACATAATGAGACTAGTCACGAGGGAGCATTCACCAAATTCAACTTCAATAACAAAAACATAAAGTGGGACCAAG